GTAGGTATTTTAAAGATAAGCTAAATACCTGTTACTGAAATTCATCTCCTTGCAGTGAATTTTCACCACTACTTACCAGAAAATCTGTGAATCAAATGGAACTTTTTATTGTTGAAACAATGATTGAAAGTATAATAAATAGAAAGCTCTTTCCACATAAAGAAATAGTGTTTTTTTAGCACCTGATTTATAATTAGGCTTGCTCACATTTCATTCACTTGAAAATGCTTAGGATTTTGTAATTTACTTACAAAAATGGGAAGGAAACTAGTTTCCCAATTTAATATGGCAATGGAGTGGGAGGTAAGGAAGGAAATTGGGTAGATGGTGCTTTTCAAAAGGAAAATAAAACTTAGAAATAATTAAAATTTTTAAGATATGTAGTAATTTTTGCATATTAATATTAAGGTGTCCTCTCATCATACATTTCACCAGATCTCATAACTTTGAAAAATACTATTACATAGCATTATTTGAAAGATGTACATAACAATTACCAAAGTACATTTTACACTCCATTAAATCAAAACCTCACATTGCCAAGAAGGCACCTTAAGAAAGTTTATTAATACAAAACTATGAATTTGGAATGATATAAAGTATATTTACAAAATAGACATCAGTGCTACTTAAAATATAGTGGCAGGATTACCTGTACTTACAGAGTTAATGAAAATTATAATTTCATTTTAATTATTCTGAGTTATAAATTTATGATCATTCTGAGGGGAGTAGCTAGTCTACAATGTCCAATGCATTTATTTCTTTAATCTTTTAAGTGAATATTCCATTTGAAAGATACAGGGAATCCCAATTTTCAAAATAAGTAAAAGAAATATGTTATATAAAAGTCTTTAAATTTAGCTATTCTATTCACAGAAAACACCCAATCCCTATTCACCAAAATCTATTCACCAAAAAACACCAATTTTATAATTCATATACATTGCAAAGATTATATTTCTCCAATACTTCTGATATTTCCCCAATCGCTTCCAGTATGTAGTACATGTCTCGGTAACACTTTCATCTGCCACTGTGAGCCAGTTCATCTGCTTTCTGGTGAGGTGCGCATTCTAAAAGAGGTACAAGTAAATATACCTGTTGGTCTCTATGTGTGGGTGGTTTACAGTTTTCCTGAACTGGGCAGTAATCTTTCTGAGCATGGAAGAAAACTTACCCTGTGCCTAGCACAGTGTCTTGACTATAACAGGCAAATGCTAAGTGTAAATATGTTTAGTCAATAAATAAATGATGATAATAGTTTTTATTTTTGTTGAGTCTTCAGAGTATTGTACCCAAAACTGTAAGGAGGACAGTAATCTAAAGTTGTCTGAGGTTGCAAAGTGTACGATTTAGGGAGCTCTTCACTTCTAGACATTCTGGGTTTGCATTCATTTACCTTACAGTGTGTAAGCCTGGTCATCTTTATTTTCCAATCAAGCCATATCCCTTATAGCCACACTTGAATTTGCCTTTTCTGTGTTCAATATAGACATGAATTTTGTACAAGTAAATATTTAGTCCCATATTATAAATCAAGTTTGTTCCTTCTAATATTCTGTGGGGCTCCTTAAATTTTCCTTGATTCGCTCCACTTCTCACCTCTTCTCTAGCCTCCTGAAGTTTTATATTTTCTTACTACTTTTTTGCAATTATATTTATTAAATACATAACTTATGATTTTCTATATTTTTGTATTAGGTACAAGTCATTTTATTTTTTAAATTATCTATGTTTTTTCTCTAAGTGAATGCAGGGAAGATATATGATGCTTATTAATTCATTTTAATAATTAGTTTTGATTGACTTCATTTTTAGATGCGATTTCATCACAGATATACATATTTTTTTAACCTTTGGGGTGTATTATTTTTGTAAGCATAGCATTTGGTTTACTTTCCAATGAAGGTAAAATGAAAGTCTGTGTTTTAAGGGAGATATTTAAAGGAAAAGTAACTGCTGTTTTCAGTAAGATATTGAATATTTTTTACATTCATCAGTGCTGTCTTCTCTTCTGATTCTCTCAGTTTTTTTAATTTTTTTTCTTGAAATTCTTAGTTTCCTGAACTGTAAAATGAGGGGGCTAGATTAAATTATCTATAAAGTGTCATGGTCTGACAATTTAAATCATAGTCTTGACCCTCATGAGATTTCCAAATAAAAAAGGACATAGGAACTCATTATGAGAAAAAAAGGAGGAAAAGTCAAAAGGCCTAAGAAATGAATAATGAGGATAAATATAGTAGAGTACATTGAGCATATAGGCCCACAATCTTAAAACACCATCAATTTTAGGGATTTTTGTTGTGTAGTAAAAATATTGGTTGAATGAATTTGATGGAGTGGAAAATGAATTTGATGAGTGAAAAAATCACCAAGACAGTTTCACAGCACAGTTTAATTCCTACAGCAATAAAAATAACTAATATTTGTGGACCACTTGTATGAAATATTTTGCATGAGTTAATTTATTCTGTTTCCAAAATCACACTGTGAGATAGAACAAGTTCATCATTTTCCTACAGATGAGTCTTAAGAAGGGCTATATTTTGGAAGAGAGGACAAAGTATTTTTCTTAAAGTTAAGACTTAAACAGTACAATACTGTTGTTACATCTACTATATGTTTACTTAGCCTGGGTTTGAAACGCCCACCAGTGGGTACGAGATACTATTAAATTCTTCATTTACATGAGATAAACCTAGGCACAAGGTATGTTAAATGTCTTCTTTAATCCAAAACTGATGTTAGACCTCAAGTTCTGTGTACTTCTTGACCCTAATTACACATTTCACCTGCTCATGTTTCCCAGATCTTGTTCAGAATTGCCTGCAACATGCATCGCATTCTCTCTTAATATTCACACAACACTTGAAATTATATTTACATCTTACATTGTCCACTTGATCTTTTAGTCTCTTTTGTTCTTAAATTTTCAACAAGACATTTCTGTAGGTGGTGATTTTTTAATGAAACTACAAGTGAAATACTGGAAATGCCTTGGATAAAATATTCTTGAATAGGTCAAGCTCATACTGGAATACCTACCCGTTGGGCATACAGTAATGTTTGTTAAATTGAATAGAATTGACAGTCATAAATATGAAATAAACTGGGTAAATGAGTGTCATTATAATTCCATCTGTGTCATAAAAGCCAACATTAGAAAGGAGATTATGGCTCCAGTGCTTTCATTGCTGATTTAATGTTTAGTAAATGAGTTTTCCCTATCATTTTCAAATTGATAAAATGGCTTGAAAGCAAATTATGAACACTATGAACTTTCTGATCTTGTGGATCAATTCCCATTGGCATCACAAGTTTGTCAGCGATAAATTATTTACCTGCTATATTCCATATTATATCCCTTCCATATTCCCTAGTTTAAGGCCCCATATTTCACTTCTAATCAGTCTCCAGAATCATCTTCAGCACAGGCTCCACACATGGCCAAAGTGATTTTAAACCACAAGTTCCTTGGTCAAAATCCTTTAAGTTCTCATCACCTGTGGGACAAAATTGCAACCTCTAACTCTGATACGTGAGTCCCTTCATAATTACAGTACACTCATATCTCCAAGTCCATTGTTATTAACATCTTTCATTCTCTTCATCCCTGAAGCCAAGAAGAGGGGCAGTGTTTGTGGTCCTTCTGTCCTGACATGCTCCCTGACACACGTGTGCCTTGCATGCTATTCCCCGCATACCCTTCTCTCTCCTTCTACCCACTTTCCCCCAGTTAAATTCTCCTTTTTATACTCAATTTAAGCATAACCTCCTCTGAGAGGGTCCAAATTGAAAATCATCTTCTTTGGAAATCTGTCTTCAACACTTCCCCAAATTTGGTTAAGCCCTGTTCACATGGCGTCCTGGGGATAGGCATTTATCCTGCCCAGTGTTTTGAAATGGAAGGTTTTTTAATTGGACTTCCGTGCCATAATCTGAAGTTGTCAGGGGATTCTGTGTTGCTCTAATTGAGTACAAAAATACATATGTATGGAGTGAATGACTGATGGACTTTTTTTTTTATCATCACAGTATTCTTCTTGACATGAGAGAGTGTTAAGTTTTAAAGTTCACCGATTTTGTTTTCTACCATTAAAGGAATACATTTCCCGTTTAAAGGTTTATCAGGGAAAAAATGCTACTATTTTAAGAACAATTATATAATGACTGATATTTTAAAAATGATTATAGACTATATGTATGTCTATATCACCTTAAAAATAAATATGATTTTATCAGAAATAGAAGGAACTAGGAAAAACATTATGGTTGGTCTTTTTGCTGAGGACTCACCTTTTTTTAAATTGGTTGACTTTTTTATGCTTTGAGTCCATTTGTGTGACTGCTGCTTCTCTTCCTTTCAAAAATGCTTATTTACAACTCACAGTGTAAAGGCACATTGCTAGGCAGAGATTGCATCAAACAGAAAGATGGTATTTTGGAGCAACTGACTGCTTTCTTGTGGTGAGAAAATCCACCTTAGAGGGAAGGAAATGTTTGGGTGTCTATGTGCCTGGCTTCTAGGAGCTGAGGCTGCCTGATGGAATAGAAGACCACCATACGCTCAGCACTGTCCTTTGGTTACATTCTCCATCATCTGCCAAAGGTCAGGACCCCACAGAGTCCCCACCTCACTAAGGAGAGATTGTAAACTGAGTACCATAGACACAGGGGAGGATTGTATAATTCCTGAATTAATAATTGTCAATTGAGATATTTTCTGGGAGCACAAACCACAAGTCAACTTCATACACCATCCCTAATATTGCTTCAGTGGTGTTATTTCAGAGCAAAATCATTACTGGTGTTTACATAAAAACACATGCATAGCACCCAAAAAACACAAAGAATTTGTATTTTATTTTTAATAAATACTACAAAATTATTTTAAAGAAGCATTTATTTTTTTCTTTTTCTTTTTAACTACCACTGATAGAAACATATCTGCCAAGAAAACATTTTTGTTTAAATAGAGTCAGGGAATCTACTACAAAGGGCCAAATAATGTAAATTGTTTTTTCCCCTATAGTTGAAATTGCTATGTTGGTCTTAAATTTCCCAGTCCAAATTAATGAACAATTTTCTCTGTGGCATAAGAATGGATTTGGCAGTGCAAAGATCAGAGCAATCTCTTCTTCATTAAATTGGGCATAGAGGACTCACTGGTTCTCAAACTGTTAAATGGATATTAGGGCTTTTAATGAATGGAACATTTATTTTTGTGCCAGCTCAACTAACAACATTGACATGATTAGCATACATTTTGGCAACTGTTCTAGCACAAGGTGTTAGTAAAAAGGGGCTTTTATCTTTGAGCTTAATTTACTTTAACTTTCCCTGTTATAAATGTTTTTAATGTGAACGAGATATTTTTATAAAGGAAATCCTGGCACAAGAAGTTACTCAGAAATATGTTTTTTTATTAATGTTACAGGCATTTCTCATGCTAGAGATGAAGTCCATACCCCAAAACACATGAATCCTCAAATATAAAAGTGAATAGAATATCATGTTATTGATACCGATGGTTAAATCATTGAATCCATAGAGAATTTTTTTAAATTAATGGTGCTACTTGTTTCATATGTAGTTCCTGCCTTACAAAAGAGCAATATGATATAAAAATGACTGGTGGAGACCATCATCTCCTTCATTGCTATACATCAATTATGAATGAAAAGTTTTAGGGGTTAAATGATCTTAGTTTCCCAGCTCAGGTGCCTCTCATACAAAAAGAAGTTTGAAAAAATATATATTTTCTTTTGGTAACAAATGCTACTGCCTCATATGCTTAATACTTTGTTCAAATTGTCAAACTGAAGAAAACAAGGAAAATGAGTTAATACGGATTCAAAAGGTCCTGGGTGTTTGCATTGAATAATCTTTTGTCTCACAATATATTTTTATTTTAAAATGTATTGAAAGCTATTGTCACACAGCTAACAGAGACCTTGTTCTAAATATGTAGTAAGATGAATGTTTATAATTGATACTAAATCAATAATAAACTGATTTGCATGTACACAGGCATGGGTATAAATTTTCATATGATCTATTAAACCTGTAGGCATACTCTATCATATATATGTCTATAACTACACACATACTTAATAATTTACCCAATGTTTAATTGAGCAATGAATTAGTTTAATATAAACTTTAGCATAACAGAATATTTACAGTTTACGTACATTCACCTCTGGAAGCCAATGAATGCCAATAACAGGCACTTCAGTAGAAGAACAAGCTCATGTTCAAATACAAAATGGTAAAAATGAGAAAGAAATTATGAAAATATATACCTTTAATTTGCAGACATATAAACACTTTTAGTACAGTACGGACACAAAATGCCAAAAAGGAGAATGACCCAGTTTAAGCTAACACTTACATTCATTTTTTACACAAAGAATTTTGCTCTAACTTATATAAACTAAAATTTCCAGCTCACACGAAGAGTGAAAGTGCTCAATCACTGATGAACCAGCTTGCTTCATTGCAAAGGATTCAATCAAGGCTAAATCATCAAAGAAATCTGCTGCTGGGCTTACAAATAAACTCCTGGACTTAATCCAAAGCCACAGAAAGGAAGCCAGAAACGGTAGCCAACAAATCTACACAACAAGAAGATAAGTATAACTTTCATATAGAAGGCCCAACTAAATCAACCGGTGGTGTACAGTAGCCTCTAGAACATTTCCATTGTAATATGATTTTTATTTTCTTCTGTGGTGGATGTTTTAAGCATATAAAAATTAACTCTATAACCAAGTATGAAGTCCCCCTGACAAGTTGTGAAAGCACCAAAATGTCATGAACACCTAGGAAGCAACTAAGGATTGAAACATTTCTTTGCTTCTGGGTTGTTTTTCTTGGACACAATTTCTAGTTACATTTTCTGTAAGGAAGAATATATTTATTTTCCCCTGTAATAACAGCAAGTGCAGTGGTAAAGAAAAGAAAGCAATTTAAGTACATAGAAAATGAAATGCTCTTCAACGGGTCACATCCTTAACACATGGCAATGGTTTTATCCTTGCTGAAAAGAAATTGCGCTTCTTTATAATGCCTTCTCTTTCAAACCTGATGTACTTGTGAGGTAATAAACACTCTGTTTGCAAATGCGTTTCCTTTCTATCATACATTTAAGTGGGGTGAAATAAACTTCAATTTTCTTATTTGTTAAATGTTAAAAACGTATATTTAAAATATACTCTTTCATTAATTTCATGTACAACTGTCATGTACAATACCTCAAAACAGTTCCTTGCAAAGGAGCAGCTGATGCCCTCTTGTGGTTAAAAAGGACTTTTTAGACAAAAAATGCAATGTATCATTTTCTTACCTTACTCCCAGGTTCTATCAATCATCTGCTTGATGTATGAAAGCTGCAGATCATGTCCAAGTTTTTTTTATAACAGTTCTAGAACTGTTAGTACTAATTTTCATTAAAAAATTCTGTACACATTTTATAACCTCTGATTTGGAATTTAAAAACCTGAAAACAGTATTTACAATATAGTACAAGTTATAAATTAGTTGTCCTTCATTGGAACTGCCATCTACACACTCTTGTTTAGGTGGTGAAGACTCCCCAAAGTCAGTGAAAATATCTCTGTGTTATTCTACAAGGAAATATCAAATATTAGAAATATCCATTGGTTTCCTCTCTCTCATATGCAAGTCAATTTTTCTTTTTAGAGGAATTTGCACTTCCAAATTTTCATCTTCCCTGTGGTGCTTTTTCTCTCTCCTTAAACAGATGTAAATGCCCATCCCTGTCACGAGTGTGATAGATCCCAAGCTTACTACAGACAGAGCTACCAAGGTGGGCACACAGGACACAGACTCAGCTTTCCTGTGGGTCGGTTCTATTGAGATCTGGGGTTCCTTTTCCTCTATATTAATTTCTGGTTCTTTTCTTAAGAGACTCTCAATGTAGCTCTCATTACTGACAGTGTCATTGACGAAGAGGTTCACCATGACGGTGGAGTGGAGAGGTTCCGGGTAACCGTGATCACTCACTTTCACCAGTAAGCGATGAAGGCCGTAATCTGTCCGTAGCAATGCCTCTTCCAAAGTTATGTTGCCAGTGTGAGGGTCAATCCTGAAGGACTCGGGCCTAGGACCTCTCCTGCCTATGATGCTATAAACTATGACAGCGTTCATGCCCGTGTCTCTGTCAACCGCATAGACCTCCGTAACGGGGGAGCCAGGGAGAGTAGAGGGTAGTACGAGCAGGTAGGACATGTTAGACTGAGGAAATAAAACAAGAGGAGGGTTGTCATTGATATCTAGAAGGAGAATTGTGATTTTTGCAGTAGAGGAGAGGGCAGGCTCGCCCCCATCAACAGCTTCGACCCACAGAGTGTAGGAACTTTGCTGCTCTCTGTCTAAAGACACTTTAGCTCTCAACATGCCCTTGCCTGTGTCTATGACAAAAATATCACTCTGGTTCACCACTGAGAGGGCCACCCATCCATTTCGCCCAGCATCAGCGTCTGTTACACTAATTACTCCAATTTCACCATATCCTGGAAAATTTTCTGGCACAAAAAAACTGAAGTCCTTGTTAATAAACCTAGGGCTGTTGTCGTTTTTATCCAACACTGTGAGAGCTACAGTGGCTACTGATTCTCTAGGTGGCTTCCCAGAGTCAATAGCTCTAACTGTGTACCTGTACTTTTCTTTCTCTTCTCGATCAAGCTGAGTAGAAACTGTCAGAATTCCTGTGGCGCTGTCTAAGGAGAAATATGATGGAGCCTCAGGTCCTAGAAAGTATGAAACTTGGCCTCTCTCTCCACTGTCAGCATCTGTAGCATGCAGCTTAGTCAGAAAGGCATTGGGTGTGTTGTTTTCTTCAATGCTCAGTTCTATCAAGGGTTGAAGGAAAATAGGAGCATTATCATTGTCATCTAAAAGTTGCACTTTAATAGTTTTTCTGACATGAAATCCCTCAGAGTTCCAGGCCACCACAGCTACTTCGTAGAACTGTTGTAGCTCATAGTCCATAGGTTTTGTGGTTTCTAGCAAATATTCGTTATTGTATGGTTTGTAGGGTGATAACCTAAATGGACCTTCACCATCCAGGTAGCAGTTCACCTTGTATTTACCTTCTGGATCTCTTATGGTGAAAAATGCAATTGGGGTGTTAACAGGTTCCAGTTCTTTCAGGTAAACAACATCATCCATCTCATTTGCTATATAACGAGGGACAATTTCAGGTGGCCTGAAAATGACTTTGATGATGGTCACCAAGGCAGTGATCACAGCAGGGATGCAGCCTGGCCCATTAGCAAGGATAGTGAGCTTGTGCATTTGCAGAACACTTCCCCCAATCTTACTGAACAGTTTAATAATTCCTGTGGTTTCATCCAGATGGAATAAATCCTTGGATGCTTGTGGAACTTTCTGGCTGTAAGAGTAGGTGATCTGGGCATTGGTTCCCAAGTCTCTGTCCACAGCCTGAACAGCTGCAATCGGTGTGCCTACTGTAGCATTCCCATACACAGTGACATTGATCTGTGAGTCTGTGAAGAGAGGGCAGTTGTCATTAATGTCACTTATGCCAATGGTGAGGGTGGCACTGCCCAACAGTGGTGGAGACCCACCATCCTCAGCTATGATGATGCTTACATACTGGTCCTGGGTCTCCCTGTCCAGCAGTCCCATGACAATGAGGTAGGGGGTGCGCTCCCCATTCTCATTCTCCTCCACATCCAGGGTGAACATACGGTGATAGTCCAGTAAGCGGTAGGTCTGCACCCCATTGGTGCCTACATCTGGGTCCATGGCAGGATGCTCTATGGCCAGCCGGGTGTTTACAGGTGCATTTTCTGGGACCCAAACCGAGATTTGGGAAACTGGGAACCGCGGGGCATTGTCATTGATGTCTCGGATAGCGATTTTCACCTTCACAAACCTAAAGTATTCCTGAGGCAGGACCAATACATCCAGAAGCAAAAGACAAGAGTCAGAAGAGGAGGAGGAGGCAGCCCCTCCACCTCCTTCAAGACACAGGGCCTCCCGGTCGATCTCCTGAGCAGAAGTGTGCAGCTCCCCGGAGCGGTTGTCTAGGGTCACGTACTGACCACTCAGTCCCCGAGAGGCCAAGCTGAAGGAGAGAGGGAGGCTCCGGTCGGCGCCGGTGCGCTGCGGCGGCTGCACCTGCTGGTCCTGTCCCCCCGCGCCCCGGGGCACCAGCCGCAGGTCCTCCGCCAGGCTGCCAATGAGCACCCCCTCGGGCAGGCCCTCGTTCAGGCTGTACAGAAGCTCGGTGGCCCGGCTGTAACTCGCGAGGCAGTTGAAGGGTCCCACGAAGAGAAAAAATAGAAACAGATGCTGAAAGTAGGGGGAGGGGAGGAGGCTTGTTACACGCGGAAACACAGAGGTTGAAGTAAAAAATCGGTGCCCCTGAGTCCTGGCTGCCGGCATCCGGGTTCCCGGAGGCAAACTCTCTAGTTAAAGTGGGTGATGAGGAAACGTGCTGCAAAGGAGAGAGCTATGGGACAACACCGTTTCCAAAACTTGGTTTTCCTGCACACTTTCTACCCTCCCACTCCCCGTCACCACCCCCATTCGGTTAGCACTGGGAAACGCCGTGCAGCATCCCTGGGAACCCGGGCCAGACGGGAGAGGACCAACCCAGGGCCTGCGCAACACCACCGCGAAGCCACCGGCAGGTGACGGAGACGGGGGAGGGCGGTAGCGGAGAGGACTCAGAGGTGGGCAGGTTACCAGTTCATTTCTCAGGGAGACGTTTCTACCGCTACGGGCCTCGGATCGCGGAATGTGTTACATCCCTTATTTGGAGACCAATAACAGCACTAAGAATAACTATCGATAATAAAAATAAAAACTGTAACACTTCCCTTTTAGGGCACTTAAACATTATTAAATAAACACTTCAGGTCAGAAGAAGTGATTTTCATTTCAGCAAGCATGTAAAATAAAGTCGATAGGATCTGGATCTCCACCCCTATCAAGCCCCCATTAATCCTCCTCCCCTGGAGAAAAGAAGTAAACGCGGAAAATGATTCTGCAAAAGCAATTTGTCAATCGCAATAGACAGTCCTAGCCAGATGCCGGCAGCCGGAAGCAATCTCCAAGCCCCCATCTCCAGCGCGGATCGGGCCCACCCCCCCACCAACACACGTCTGCCTACATTTCTGCTTCAGAAACTTCCTCTCGCGACCCGAGGACTTGCCTGTTCCTTGCGCCCAGGAAGACACATTATTCCGAAGTCCCTTCCCTCCCTCCAGCCTTCCCGTGAAGTTTGGGTAAGGTAAAAGGTTTGAAAAACCATCAAGGAGTGGCAACTCCCTCCCAGTATTGCAACTTGTCCGGGCCGCGGGGCTCCCGGAGCCGAACCTTACCGGCAGGTTTCTGTGGCTGGTGCTGCTCCTGGGACTACCTAGCTGCCCCATATCCAGGCGCGGGTGCCAGGTCGCCGGGCGCCAGCTCCCTGCCAGGGCCCGCGAGCCGCGCGCACTCCCTCGGCCGCGCATTCCCGGGGAGGCTGCAGTCAGCGCGCTCCTGACGGGCGGGCGGCAGAAGACACTCCCTCTCTGTTCATGCAAATCGCTGGGGAACTTCAGCCAATAGTCACTGGCTCGGCAATTGAGGGGAGCGGAAGGGGGGCCGAAAGGCTTGGGGGCCGAAGGGTTTGGCCATGATTTCCTGCCCCGGGTGCGGGTTAGTGCAGACCCCGCCGGAGCCGCGGGGATGGGGGACTTGCCTCTGAAGACTGCGATGAGGCGCCACCCGCTCGGGCACCGGAGCGCGTGCCCACCAGCCTCCCTCCTCGCCGCACCGGTCGGAACCCAAGTCCACAGGTTGCGAGCGTTAAAGGTAGAATTAGATTAAATAAATAAGCCTGCACTCATATCTGAACAGAGAGGGAGGATATCGGCGCGCCAGAGCAATCACAGTCGCGATCCCCAAACGCCTGCTTTGCCACCAGTTCTTCCGGAGACTTGGTTGGATCCGGCGGTGTTTGCACAGAGAAGGAAGAATCCCCTTTTCTCTGAGGAGGGAAGGAATCTCAAACTCTGTGCAAGGCAGTCTGAACCCGGAAAAGTAAATATATGAATTCGGTGAAGGTTTCCACGTGCTCTCATCTTGAAACTTCACTGTTGATGGTGGCAGAGCTTTGGCTAAGTCTTAAGTCTCCTAGTTGCAGGAGTCAGGGTCCCTGGGTGTCCGCCTTGGGGCCTCACTTTAGAGTCAGCCTGGCTTCCGGCCAAGGGAAAGTGCCAGGGGGAAAGTGACATTTTTCAGTAAGGCAAGTGGTTTCTGCTTTCAAGATTTTTTGGGGATTGGGGTGGGGTGGGGGAGGGCATTCATGAAGCCTAAGGTAAAAATACTGGTTAATTTTTAAATCATTATTTTTTCCTTGGAATGCTTATTGGGAAGGTGGTCAAAAGAATTGAATCCTGGAGGGATTTGGTGCTAAGTGCTTGAATATTCCCCTCTGGCTCTGACAGCACAGAGCCATGGACCTGTATCCTCATTTACAAAATTGGGCTGTGAGAGGCTGCAGTGCATTAAGTCTGAAACACTTTTTGATCCGTAGGGTGCCATGTAAGTTAATGGAAATGAGCATTGGCTTTTCCCTGAGTAGACAATTCTCGTCAGCACTGGGTTTCCAGATATCCCGCATGCTGCCCTGAACATAAAACCCTCCCCACTGAATAGTGACTGAGCCTAGAACAGAAAAGTCTTTCTTTCGGGTCAGAGAAAGGTCTGGCATCCCTCTGCTTTCCGTAGGAACCACTTTAATTTTTTTCTACTGTACTAACTAGAATCTAAATTGCTTGAATGAGCTGTTTGCTTCTGACCCTTTATTTTTTCTCCTCATCTCCACTAATCCTAGAAACACAAAGTCCTAAATATTGACAACACACTACATTAAAACACCTGGTGTGTGTGACAGCTTTTTGCCCAAATGCGACTATACATGAAGTTCACAAAATTCCTATAATACAAATCTGGCATATAATGAATATGCCTTATAAAATTAGCTCTTTTCAGCTCTTTAGAGTGAAATTCGAATGCTGATGAAGTGGTAAACACACAAATGAACACACACTTGGGTATAAGACCATAATGCAGTTGGTAAACAGAACCCAGTCAGGGAAGTATGATTTGCCTCTTTTTGCTTTTTCAGTTGCTGATTCTGCCCTACAGTTGAACTTTTACTGTAATAAGTAAATATTTGCTTCAGGGTCTATTGTTCACACTTACGCTACTCCAAAAATCAGTACCAAGCTGCTTCTGGTAGATGGTATATCCTCCCTCACACCTCATGTTCTCTCTAACAGGTTAAGATCACTCACCTTTTATTTTGGTGAAAATATAGAGATCTCTTTCCTTACTTTGTCCTTTCTGTACAAGGACACTACACAGGAGCTTTCATTCATGAAGACAATCCAATTTAAGTGACATCTCTTTGTAATTATTTTCTCAACTGTCTTTAATTTTCCTTGGACTCCTGAGCTCTTTCTTTCACTCCCTGGTTGTGGATGCTTTTGGCACAGATGCACATGTTCAGGTGTCCCAGTCCCCTGTCCCAGAAGAATCTTGTCTTCTGGCCATATGATCCAGCTGCTCTCTATAAGAGAGTTCTTACTTCTCCGTTTCATTAGCTTGGCAAGAGATTAAACCTAGATTAAATCTATATGTTCAGCAATAATTTTTCTAGAGTGCTTCTAAAAAGAACAACCATATGAACTATAAATTGAAACACAGAAATTAAACATTCTGGAGATAATGTTTGGAATGACAATAATAGTAACCACCTTTGCTTAAAGTTACTGTGGTGATTGATTGTCAGGACTGGGAGACATTGATGCAAAGGGAGACCTTTGGAATAATACCTTAGATATCATATTTCAAACTTTTAACTATCTACTTGTTATTATTTCCTCTTTGAGGATCTAAGTAGAGGCTTCATGCTGATTTACACTGTAGAAATACTCTTCTTTCTTCTCCCGTACCTTCTTTTTGGGCACTGTGAAAGCATTCCCAAATGCCTGTTCCTTATGATAGCAGCCCTGTGACTTACCATCTGGTGTCACATATTTCTTTCTAAAGATGACTTAGAGAGCTTCTGTGCTATTAGTCCCTTGAAAATAATACTTATGAACTTCTCAGATGTCTCAGTTGCTCTGGGCCTGCTTCCCAGGTGTTTTGTAAAAATTGATCTAAAAGAATAGGTAGATTATATGCCTCCCAAGCCTATTTTTTCTATAGACAAGGAAAACAACTTGGTACAATAGATGGTACATTGAACCAAGCCAGGGGATTTGGATTCTGTTCTCTGAGTTGTTGCTGTGTTATTGTGTGACTTTAGACAAGTCATCACACAACTCTGTTTCAGTTTTCTATAAGAACACCAACACACCCTACATGCACACATATGCATGACATGGCTTACCTAATAAGTCATTAACAGACACTGCACAATGATATACAGGTTAATTTGATCATTGTTTACTGTATTACATTACTAAAGGTTAATAATAATTTTCATTTTCTTCTCTCCTTCCAGTTTTATCTGTTTATGAAGTTGTGAGCATGCTTTTAAGTGTCTATCAGGAAACCATCTTCAAACTTTGTACATTTAGCAATCATACCCTAAAACTTTTAAATTCTTTCAAGTACTGTGTTTTCCAAGTAGCTTTTACTTATTTTTTTCAATTAATTCTGACTGTACTATTTAAAGTATTTTAATAACAGTATGGTATCCACAAAATTTCTTGTAGTTAATATATACCCAGATATTTAAACCTATTTTGAACCAAATCCTGTAAATTTTCTGGTTAATTCAAGATTTTAAATAAATATAAATTTACCATATGACCTTATTTTAAGACAATTGCATTTTCTGTCTGTTAATATATCAAATTAGCAGTCTCTTTAGATGACTTAGAATATATATGTGTGTGTCTATGTTATATATGTATATATGTAAATGTAAGTAGAACAAATATAGGGTGTGATGTAGTTTTAAAGATTATGTTATTTCATGAATATATAAATTATAAATATGTATTTATAAGTAAATATGTATATATATTCTTTTTCTGATCAAATAATCAGGGTTGAGGGATGATCACTCATATAAAACCAATACAATATATGAGAAAAAATAAAATTGACCATTTATTGAGTGTCAGGTGTGTCTTGAACATGCTGCTAGGTGCTTCACTGGTTTTCTTAGTCCTCATAGCAGTTTTATAAGGTAGGTATTATGTCAGCTTTACAGCCATAAATTACATGTTTGTCAATGTCTGTGGAAACTGGCCTCTCTAATCTGTGGCCTCCAAAGCCATGATCTTTCTACTCTGGTACATCTTTCTCACCTGAATGGGTGGCACTAGGCCTACACAAATTTAAATATATTTTAAGTCAACAAACATTTATCACTCACCTCCAATAAGAAAAACATTATTGTAGACATAAATGGGCTATATGATGCTTTTTTTAAATTGTGGTGTTGTTGATATACCATCTTATATTAGTTTCAAATATACAACACAGTGGTTCAGCAGTTAGCCATGTTAAACCCTCATCCACTCTAGTGCAGTTACTATCTATCAACAAGAAAGATGGTACAGAATCATCAACTATGTTCTCCCTGCTGTACTACCTTCCCTGTGACCAGCTTATATGGTGATTGTGAATTATGGTGCCCATTTATCCTCCTCCCCTTCCTGCCCCCAACCCACCCCCAACGGTAACCACTAGTCACTTCTGTAAGATGCCTTTTTGAATTAAAAACTTCTTTAGCCAATTACTACTTCCTAAATATATATACACACATAGACACAAATGTCTCTGTGTTTGGCTGCCTTAGATCTTCTCACAACTTGTATACTTTAAATATATTGTGTGTGTATATTTATGTGTATACTTGAAAGTATTTCAGAGTTCTAAGTAATTTTACAAATTACTTAGTTAAGCCCTCATTTCATATATTGAGAGTGAAAGAACTGCCCCAAGCTAAATCAAATCCTCAAAAGACTTGAGTTACTTGAATGGTAGTAGATTGTGGCCTCAGGATTATCTGTGGTATTAGAGGATAACTTAGAAAAAAAACAGCCTTTTCTTTTTTTTTAACTATTTATTCTTTTCCAAAAGCCTTGATTTTAAACATCAAAATAAGCACCAGTTGGTTACTTTATTTTATGTCATATCTTTTATTATATTATATTTTTATTATATTTATATTATGTGTATTCTTTTCAAATGTGCAAATATTTTTAAGGAACAGAACTACAATAGTCCCTTTATCCTCAGGGGTTACTTGCAAAGACCCCCAAGTGGGTGCCTGAAATCATGGGTAGTACTTATATAGTATATATAAGTAGTATATATAGTTTTTCCTACACATACATACCTGTGATAGTTTAATTTATAAATTTGGCACAGTGAGAGATTAACAATAACAAATAATAGAAAATTATACCAATGTACTTAATAAAAGTTACATGGTCTCTCTCTCAAAATACCTTACTTTCTGTACTCTTCTTGTGATGTGAGGTGATTCAGGGCCTACATGCTGAGATGACATGAGGTGAGTAATGTAGACAAGGTGACACAGTATTAGGCTGCTCTTGACCT